AACACATTGCGATCCCAAGTAAAAGGCAGGAGCCAGCACATCTGTGCAAATATTTGCTTTTGCTTGTCAAAACTTTGGAGAGAGTTACATTTCTTCCTCTACTTATTAGTTTCATCTGTCTCGAAACACAAAGTGCAAAAATTATAAGCAGATTGACATCATCTTCTGGGGCTGCTGCCTGCTCTATGCCAATTCTCTGCCGCCTGAAATGACGCTCTTGGAGGAAGCAAGGCAGATATTCCTGTGCCGCCTACAACCCACCTCGCAGCAGTAATGGCTGCAGGGAAGTGCACGAAGCCCGTGTCGACGCTTGCGATCTCTCGCACACAAAGCAGCAAGCCTGGAGGCTGTCCCTCCCTCGGGAGGGAGGCAGTGCGCCCTTGTCCTCCCAGCCCCGATGCTGGGACCCACATCCCAGGCCCATTGAAGATGATGACCAAGTTCTTGTTCGTTTTGGCAGGGTCAGCCCTGCACAACTGTGCAGGGAGTGCTGCTGCCTCCTCACCCCCCCCACATCCCCGCTCCCCGAGCCTGGCGCTTTACCAACACTGAGAATAGCGGCACCAACATCAAACACCAAATCGATACCAAATACTAATGTACGGTTTCATACCAGCGTAGCAGTTGTCTTACCAAATTATTACAATGATCCAGACTTAGTCTAGAAGAAAACCTCCAAAAACTGATGAAACATAAAAACGCCTTTGTCATAGATAATTAGTAATATTTGCAAGTGACCCAAGAGAAGAAATTAAGGTGAAAAATTAAAACCCTGCTGTCATAGCATTACAGGACAGTTATATCCACTGTGCAGACTGTATAATTCCCATTCATATTTCAGTCAATCCTCACAACTAAATAGCACTTCCCTTTCTCGTAACAGCCAATATACGCACATCAATCAATTTGGCTTGTTTATACTGCAGTGTAAGGCTACACTGCCACTTGCTAAAGTTCACTGTAGAACAAGCCAGGCATTAACATCCCTGTCATCACAAAACTTCACATTTTACATGGATTTGATGAACCAAACACAATATTTCAGTGTTGAAATGCCCTCTGGAACCCACCCCTCCGCCTTACTCAATCCATCAGCCTGGTGTTCCCCCGAGTTACCAATGCAAACACTGACACAGCCTGGGGTTTTCCAACCCACTCCAAGATTAAAGACATCCCACTCCCATTCATTTCAGCTCTGTCAGATGGTTGGGAATAACTCCGTGATGCTGTGAACCTGAATACGTAATGTGCGTGGTGCCTATCAGCTTGGCCTCTCTAGGTGTGGGAGCTAAAATGGTAAGTTTCAGGCAAATTATAGTCTGCTCATAACAGACTAACTGCTCACATATGTGCAAAATTCCTTGGATCTGCACTTTCTTCCAGCTTGCCTGATTTTCTAAAAATCACTATTTTTATGCATATTAAGTCGATGGTCGACCAACCCATCCCTCTAAAATTGGCTTGGGAATGGGGAAGCTCTTCTCCAACCCCCCTGCATGGATGCCAGCTTGGGGGAGCAGGCAGCCACACGGGAAGGCGAAGGCATCAAAAGGAAATTAATGGATAACAGCAGCGATGAGAGACAGTAAACAGTGCCGTAAGCGGAGCCTACATATCCTAACCCTGAGCTTCCTCAGCAGCAGCATGAAAGCTAGCACAGCTTCACAGAAGAAAAGCCAGCAGCACTGGAAGCTGAACTGAGAGTTGTTACCAAGCCAAGCAGAAACCTGAGGAGCAGCCCATACTTAAAATGAAGAGCTATTAAGAGAAAGCTGTCACTACAGAGCATCCTTCCTCGCATTTTCAGTATAAACCATAGCACAATTACTTGTATTTTAGGGGACTCTGCACTGCTGGGAAAAAAATGTTCTTCAGGGCCATGAACTTACAGGCCATGAAGAGAAGCAAATACTGTGGCCTCCCAGGGCACCTTCCTCTGCTGGAGGGCACCTTCCTCACAGGCCAAGCAGCAGGCCAACAAGCCAACGTTGGCTACTCTGCACCAGTGCAAGGTAATGCCTCATTTAGATCAAAAAACCCTCTTGTTACTGACTCAAAGTTATAGAGAGACTTACAACTTTAGTAAGAGAAATATGAACTGTTTGAGCCTGTTCTGCACTACTGCTAATTGTATCAGCATTGCTTAGGGCTCTCCCTGTGGTCTCAAACCATAACTTCCAATGAAGTGCAATTATCTTGACAGCTCAGACCCTCAGTAAATCCAAAACGTGGACCTACTAATAACCCATATCAAAAAAATAGTCCCACAGGTTCAGTAGGATTACTGGCATGAAATGGACTGCTCCTCCAGAGAAAGATGCTGCTGCTGGGCAAAGATGAGGATAAAATATTTTTCAAAGATCTCAGCAAGCACATTTGCAACCCCCACCTCGGTCCCGAGCCAGACTTGCTAATCTGATAAAATCCTAAAGCCTGAACATTGTGTGTGTGTAATGCAGCAGTGGCCTGCAGAACTTCAAGTAATTTGGGAGCCATGCTTTGGTTTTCACTCAAGCAGATTTCCATCAGACTTGCTGGGACCTCTGGTCGAGCCCCGACCGCAGAATGGTGCCTGCAACCCCAGCACAGGTCTCCAGCAGAGCCTGCCGTGCCGCTCAGCTCTGGATAACGTCTCTATTTTGGTGCAGAGCCATAAAGGGCTGTAAGACCACGCGCTACAGTGCCTGAGACAGACACAGAAACTTCCACCAAAGCATGAAAGTTCAGGAGAGCAGTGAGCAATTCACACTGACTCAAAAACAATCAACAGGGTTTAAAACAAGATGTTCACTCTTCTCCCCTGACTGTATGGAGAGTCTGCATCTGGCAGAACTGACAAATATTTTGAATTGTTCAATGCTTTCCGGAACAGAGGCAGAATAGGTTATAGTCTGAATACTGCCTGAAGTGCTTCTCCATCTTAAAACAGTCAGGACAGAGAAAGGATTAGAAATCTCTGTCACTCATGACAGTGCCTGAGCTGTGCAATTTTAATCTTAATATAGCTACAGTAAATTGCAGAAGCAGAGCTCTGAAGAGCCATCCGAGCTTGCAGTTCTGCCATGACAATGCAACTCCAATCAGACTCTTGGCAAGCAATCCTTGGTTTCAGAAGACAATAGGTAGCAGCAGCTACTGGATACTGAAACTATTCCAGGCACTAAAACATAGTAAAAAGAAGTTCGACAGTTAATACCATTCATCTGAAAAACGGTAAGAGGATGATGCCAGCTGTTCTGAATGTGCTGGTTAGATTGACTTAGTTATCCCAGTGCAGGTTAGCTCCATTTCTACAAAGAGCCTGCTTCAAGACAGAAAAGATCATTTAGTAGCTGATACAGACAACGAGCTAAGTAATTTTTCTGTTACTACAGTAAGTACATCCATTGCTCTGAAAACATAAAAGCAGGGAACAGCTTGTTTTATTTTACTGCACAGATACACTCCTAAGTTGAAGGTATTAGTGGCATATTCTATCTGCAAAAGGAGAGCAGACAGAATGAACGGACCCGTCTCTGAAAGGCAGCGCTCAGTTCAGGGTTTATTCGAGTGAGTTTCCAGTGTCGGTGTCACCCCAGGGTGGCAGGGAAGAGCCCTGCACAGGAGCAAAGGGCGTTTGAGTCGGACTTCTACAGACGCAGAACCCTGCACACCAGCCGCCTCCAACACGTGCACGCACCCCCTGCAATGAAATTGCTACAGTAGGAAATCATTCACCCCCTGAAAAAAATTCATGTCACAGACAGCGTATGTATGCGTTTCCATTCACGGCAGTGACTGGTTTAGTTACGAACAGTGGCATACCACCATCCAGAGACATGATTACTTCAAATAAACCTATGTAAACACATACCCTTATATAACTTATATATAAAAGATATATATATAAGTTTTATTTGTGTATACATAGATATAAATACCTATGCGCGCACACACACAAACACGCACCCCTAACACAAAGCACAGAACACACACATGGAAATACTGTAAGTGATGCTGAGCTGAAATCTAAGAATATAATTAAGAAATTATTAGCAGGTTTAAAACTAAGTTAAAAAACTCTTCAAAGTGTCTTTAATATTTATGTTCAAGTAAGGGCCAGAACGACCACAGATTAGTACTGGTAAAAAGAGCTGGCATTACGTTTCCCATATTATGCCAAAACTCATGAGTTATTTCTCGTTGTCAAACTCATTGTCATTTCGCCATCAGGGCACCTCATCAACTAGAAAGATTTCTTTTCTTTAGGAAACAGTGATTTTAAAGACTTGGGTTAACAAACAATACTGTTTAGGCACCCTCAATCATAAACTAATGCTAAGACCCACGCACACCTTAGAGTATCAGAAGAGAACTAGTGGGACTTGGACATCCACACCCACAGTATTCAGTGGCACAAACAGGTCTTCACAATAGAAAAGGCAGTACTGGAGACGCGGGATGAAAAGGTGACACGGTGGTGGCCATTAAAACAGCAACATTTACCAAGAGTGACTCTCCAGTAAGCTTCTGAGACACCACAGATGCTCCATGTTCAGGAGATACAGAACCATGGTGGTATTTCAGCGGTGACTGTGGGTGCAAGTGGGTTTCAGTGGCAGCTAAAGCTATCATTTACATGTGCTCCAGGGTGGTAACAAACACCTCTAACAACACTGCAAGGATTGTTCGGGATATTTAGTATGGCTAAAAACCCTGGTACCAGTGTCTTGTATCAGAAATCACTTTATTAGAATGTAAATGTAGTGTACAAGCACCAAATCATTTTAGCTTAACTGTTTAATGGACATTCGTTATATAAATTACTAGAGATTTAAAAAGACAGATCTTTAAAAAGAATTTTTTTTCTTTTATCTTTCCCCCCCCCCTTTTGTTAAGATTATTCACTATTTCTATTCTGATAGAAGACTCTGATGATTACTGGTACCCTGGTGTGTACAACCTTGAGTCGGCACACACGTACGCACACGCACACACACACACACACAACTGTACACCTCACTGCTACATCAACAGCCTTTTAAATAAAGAGCCCCAGCTCTGACACCGGGACCTGTACATCAGATATAGTCTCTTTGCGCATTTCGGCATCGTTATCACCACTCAAGTTCCATGTTTATCGCAAATCAAGGTGGCCTTGAATGTAAGAACAGCCTGTCCCTCACCCTCTCTAATAAAGCCACAGTTAAGTCTTGGGATTTCTTTGTTTTTCCACTGCTCAGCCATGCAAATCCAGGCAGATGTGCAGGCTGTAAAGCTTCCAGTCTCTTCCAACCCCTCACCAGTCCAGCGTTATCACACAGAGACGACGACATCAAGATAGAGTCTGTCGTAGGACTCGCGGAAGCACAGGATGAGGAGCAGGCTGAGCAGACACGATCCTGGCAGGCACCAGTTGAACCAAGAAAACTCTGTAAAGCAGAAAACAGACCCAACCTCAGAGTTATCAAACATGTTCCGTGTTTAAAGCAACCAAAACTTTGATTGATGGCGGGTCTGAAGGAAATTTCTGTGTTCTGAACAAACTCATGACGGTTCTCAATTGATAGATGGTTAACATGGTCTATGAGACTTCTCTGTGGATGCCTTATGTATATATAAAGAGATATATATACACACACACACACATATGTCTCCAGCTAATGATAATCTTCCTTATTCAACCTGTCAATGGAGAGAATGGGGGAAAAAAAATAAAATCTATCATTGCTAATGGAGAATAAACCACTCCTGAAGACTCTACTCATTAGTTCTTTGATTTCTATGGATTGAAAACTAAAACAAATTAAAAGTGTAAGAAGAAGCAGGATTTGATTTTGAATCAAACCTACTACACAGAATAAGGAGGGAAAACCAATTCCTCAGAAGAAACTTGTGAGTAGTACGATCAATGCAATTTAAAACTAGTTGCACAAACAGCTTCTCAGAATCAGCCTCTTTTTAGCTGTTAGACATAATGTACTGCTCTTAAAAGCCTGTGTTCCACATTCAAGAAATCCTATCATCTGATATTTGACTACTAATTAGCAGTTTTATTCAGTTTTTTTTTTTTTTAAAACAAGTGCACCACAATTTCCTTTTTTAAAATCTGACGATTTACTGAAGAAACATTCATTTTACTGGAGATGGTGTTTAATTTCTTTTTTTTCTTTTAAGTTTCCTTTATTATTATTATTATTTATTTTTACAGAATCCAAACTGTACAAAATCAAGACTTCAGCACTGCTACTTTCTTAAATCTGTAATTTATGTTGCTAAAAGAAAAAGCATAATTTATATTACACAATGCAAAGGACAAAAGTCAGAAAGCCTAAAAAAAAAAAATCCAAAAATGGTAATCTTCAACACTACCCTCCCTCATCCACCAAAAACCCTTACAGATTTGTTTAGGCAGTAATCTTGTTAAAACCTTAGTAAAATTTTCCTAGGCTTGGAGAAGACCATGTTATGTAATGCCAGAAGTCAATAGGCAAATGCTTTGCTATTATTTTCCTTACAATACTCTTGCTTAATTGGATTAAACAGGCTTTAACCCAAATATCCTAAAAGACGAAATTTAACTTGTGCATCCTTCACATCTTTTGTAATCCAGAATTTGTGACAGCACTGGCGAGACATGCTAACACATTGACTGCGTGAAGCTAAAGGTCGATTTGCTTTTGTTTTTCCCTTGGAAGTCCCTGCAGAAAAGGCAAAGGAAACTGCATCCAGCAGCTGCGGCTTTGGGTCTCAGGGCACAGCACTAGCAGGGAGGCTCAACTTTAGAAAGGTTTACATCTCCACCGTGCTAGCTGGACTAAAATCTTCAGTGCACTGGAAAGTTTCCAGGGCTTGGCTCTTTCACAGCCTTTGCAATATCAGAGTACGAGGAGAAAAAGAGAGAAATCCAAATTAAAACTACTAAAGATTATTTGGCCTAAAAAGCAAGACCAAAGGAACAAGATGAATTTGATTGAGTTCTGGTTTATCTGTAAGCTTCTTAAATGCCAATAGAGGATATATATGAATCAAATGAAAGACAAATGTTTAAGATCGTTATCTACCTTCTAAAGGATTTTTTTTATCAAAGCAGCCAATAGCACCCATTGCCATTGATCCCCCCCCAGTGACCACACGTGCTCTTGTACTCTCGATCATTTGCAATACTGCCCCATGGAGAATGGATTGTCCTAAGCACAAATTACTTTTTAACTCTTTTTTCCCCTTTGAAAAAATAGGGAAAATATTCCAAGTGTGTGGATATACTAATTTCAGGTTTATCCTTACCTGCATTTACTAATACCTGTTAGGGAAAAACAAAAAATGGCCCTAAAGACCCTATTTATGAGGGAACGAGTTCACTTTATCGTCATTCTTCAGTCAGAAGTGAGACACTGTATCCTCATCCTCAATTATTAAGTAATTCTGAACACTGAATTGTTACTCTGAAAAAATTCTCAGAATATTCTGCTTAATCTTTTCAGCTCAGGTGTAAATGTTAGAAATAATAGTATATGTGAACAGAGTTCACAGCAATTAATATTAATCATGAAGGTATTGTTTAAAATGTAAAGACTAAATATCACACCACCCAAGGCTAGCAGGGATGGAATTCAGATTTTACAATGATGCAGTTCAATGTCAGTATTAAAAAAAAAAAAAAAAAAAAAAAAAAAAATTTCTCTCAGTCTGTGTTCACAGACCACAATTTGGAACAGGGTTGTTAACCTGATTGCGATTCCCTGGCAGAAAGACACAAACCACGCTGCAAATTTGCCCCAGGCTGTAACCTTCATAATTTCAAGCATAATTCATTCTGAAATTTGTCAGTCTCCTCTTGGTTATAAACCACACCATCTTAAGAAGTACATGCACTCATGACAATATATAAAAGCTTGCAATTTCTAATGCTTCCAAAGCAAAATATTGCTTTACAAATCTTGCATCATGAAGCAAACATTTACCACAACAACAAAATACAAACCAAAAATATGCATCTTGGAAAACCATTAATAAAGACCATTTCCCTTTGAAAGCAAGATGGGTTCTTATTTTACAGCTTAGAGTAATAATATATATTACAGTCTACTAAATAGCAAGCTGAAAGTTACAGTTATGAATTATGAGGAAGCAAATAATACTCGAGAGATGAGAAAGTCTAAAGAAGTTGATGAAAATATCAAGCAAAACACTGTTCTGCCTCATTAGGCCACTAGATTATCTAAAGGAATGAGTATTTTGTCTTTGAGCAGTGGTCAAGAGATGCTCTCTCCCCTGCAATGGTATGTCCAACCCACCGAACGGAGCTGATCATAAATGGGGGGGCATTTCTGCTCTGCCCCTCCTGGGCAATACAGTTATACCCTGAAGCATGAGACTGGATTAGCTTTAGTGTGGTTTTGAACCCCCCAGACACAAACATTATTAATGGCCACATTACCCAGGCCTTTATAAAAATATGACAACAGCGTGTATCTTGATGGTTTCTGGCTACAGCAAATTCTAAGTAGAATATCACTACATACATCTCGCATGAAAGCATTTCATTTTTATTAGCATGCACACAGAAAAGAACAATTAAAGTTCTTCTCCCTTGCAGCTACATAGGGGGATTCAAACATTTGATTATTAACAGAAATTGTATGTGTAAATCCTCCCTTTACTGACAAGGGTATGTCTTCATGGAGAATTATATTTTCAAAGTAGCTTATATTTCTTACCTGTATGGTAAAATGTGAGGAAAAACAAAAGCACTCCCATAAACACATTACTCAAAAAGGTGACAACTCCACAGGTAATTCCTTCTGGAACAGGGTAGACCGTTTCCACAAAGAGCTCAAAGAATATTGGTACGCTGCTGTTGAGGAATATACCCAACAAAATGCAGGATGTGTACAGTGTAGCTATAAAAAACAAAAACAGTTATTAATTTCACACTGGCATTTTTTCCCCCTGTTCAGAGCTGCCAAGAATACTAATACTTGAGTAACTGAAAAATGCATAAACTTATTTTTATCCTCTGTGTATCATAAAGCATATCACATCCCACTGGTTTTAGGCAGAATGCATGCACTAATTTGAAAAAAAAATTAGAAATACTGATTTATTTATTTTTTTTAAACAGAACCCATGAAGACACATTCAGTGATTTGGAATTCACTTGTAAGTAAAACAAACAGAGCAAAATTAGGAATGCAAAGCATCACCTACAGTTTGATTTACCTCTGAAATGAACAGAAACTATTGTCCTATACACAATTAGGACAGGGAGCAATTAATGCACCAAATGGGAAATGGACATGGATTAACCTTTTGACTTAGCTCTAAAGGTCAAAACTAATTTTGCTTCCATTTTACAAATAAATACTAATGATCTACCAGATATCAAGACATTAGTATTCATCACGGTCTGAGCTGCAACATGTTGAATCCCTTTTGGCTTCAAAAGGAAATGAAGGGCACCGAGCGCCTGGCAGGAATGGGACATATTTGATAGTGTAGATTATTCACAGTTGTACAGCAAATTATTTTTCTTGGATGAATCAACAGAAGAATACGACGTTTCTTCAGTAGCCTCAGGTATTTTGTTCTACAATTTCTGACACTGCCAAATACTTCACAGTGCTTAATATCTTAATAGAGATGCTTAATATGCCTATATTATCTATTAATAAACCTATTATAGCTATTTCTGGAAAAAAAGAAAACTTCAGAAAAATTTAGTACCTATTTAGGAAAGACTTATTTACATTTCTAACTGCTTTCTTGGGAAGAGGAAGATTGCCTGACCTGCAGCCTCAACAACTTGAGGTTACTGATCAAGTAAACAGTACAAGGAAACAATTGGAAAGCTTGGGGAAAAAAAAAAAGAAAAGTCTGGAATATTTTCTGAAGTTTTCACCAAAATGAGAAGAAAAGATAAAAATTTTTCAGATGCAAAAGTATTACCAAGTCACAAGGAAATTATTTATAGCATCTTTTCACTGCAGTATGGTACAAAATCCTTAGACTTTTTTTTCACACGGATATATATGTTTATATAAATCAGAGAGTATATTTTCAGTTTAATTTACGTTCTTCTGTCTTGGAGAGGGGAGAACTGAAACAGCCCTGCTTCATCTTCTGTTAAGCATTGCTCAATCTTTCAACTGAGAGACTGTTTGGAAGCAGAAAACTTTCAGCTTAAAAAAAAAAAAAATAACCCCCCCCCCCTCACTGTTTCTTAAAATATGAAGAATCATGGAAAAGAGATAAAAGCATTAAGAAGCAGAAAGGGCTATCTATCAGATCCTCCATTTGATGTGGTTTGCTTCCAAGGCACAAAGACATATTTCTTTCTCTACAGAGGATTTGCCTGGACAGGAAAAAGAGGACAGAAGACTCAGCCAGAAAAATGATACAGATGGCATGACTTCAGGAAGGACAGCTGGCCTCCACTTTTTTTTAATATACCAGAATGTTCTGAGTTGTTAAGGAAAAAAAGAAAGAAAAACAAAGAACAAATAAATCATGATAACTTTTTCAACTCTCAAATTCTCTTATTATAAACTGCAGAATAAAAGTCACAGAAATGGATGCCAGGTATGTTCAAGAGTTCTCAGAGAGGAAGGAAAAAACCAAACCAGTATTAGTATGCTCTTCCTAATGGACTCTTCTAGCTAACACTGAAGAACCGATTCCCTAGTTACAAGATCCATACATTTTTGCTGCAAGTCCTCACGAGTATTTAAAATTTCATGAACCTCTCTTTGAATTCCTGTTTACCTCGAACACGACTGCATGTTGCTCTAACTGTCTCTAACGGCTATCAGGTGTAGCCAGCAAATCCGAGCACTGAATTCAGCTATTTGATATTTTTGCGTTGGCTTGAGAAACCAACACATAAATTAAATAGAAGAGTATCTCAAGACAAATGAATATCTGCCCCTCATTGCACTCAATTAAAGGCATCTATAGATAACTACTTGTAACTTCTCGAGAAAATTTTCAGAACTTTCCCCAAAGAAAGAAGGTGATAGCCAGCAGTAATTCTGTGTTAGAAACTCAAACAGTAAATATAGTCATGAAGCTGCTGAAAGCCGTAACAAGCACCAGCAAAAGTGGAGCTGCATATAGATAGCACCAGAAGCAACACCTCTGCAGGAAGAATGAAACCTCTTCCATAAACAGCAACAGCCAGGAAAGGGGAATGACGTGCCTCGAACAGAGACAATCTCTAGATGTATAATTTCCAGAAACTTAGATTCACCTGAGGTGAAAGCAAAAATATGCATCTAAGATTAGCAGCCATTTAAAAGATCAAGACTTCAAATTTTAGTCAATACAATAGATGCAAAAGTTTCCATAAAACAAACAGAAGCCTTCAAAATAAATCTGATAGTTTAAAATATGCTAGTTGAATTACATCGTTGCTCATCACTTAGTAGAATGTATTAAGACTAGACCATAACCAAGTAAACACAGTAACTCCGTACTTTAGAAACTACACCCTTACATTTCCTTGTCACTACAGCTTGCTTTCATCATACAGTTAGCAAATACGCCCACTGGCACACAACTCACACTTCCATACTACTATGAGCAAAGCAGCTTTAGCATTACCTTTTGCTTTCCCCAAAGTATTACCTGCCTCATGCGTGCACACCGAAAACTGCCAGCTGAATACCAATGACAAAACCTCTGCTGAGATCACAGATAACACTTACAAAACAAAGTGTATGTATATCTACACACATATTTGGAAACTAATAAGAGGAAATGTCAAGGCAAAAGGACAGGCAGAATATAGCGTCCTGTAGATGTTAATTAAATTCTAAGATCTAATGGAAATGACAGCTTTAACTGGTAAACCTCAAAAAGCAGCTCTGAAAGTGAAGGAGATGTACTTATCTGAAAGCCTACCCTTAATGGGTACATACTGTAGTGATGGGAAAATACGTTTTATTTTATGTTTCTGTAAATCATCCAGGGTCTTTCTCAGTGGTATACAAATAAGCTTGTTCCATTAACTTGGCAATTAAGTCACAAAGGCAATTGGTCAACAGAAAGTCAAAGATAAGATACGCAGTTTCAGAAAAATAAGTTATAGGAAGAAGTCAATTAAGAGTTAAAAAGCAGGTTTTGCCTTTTATTTCATACACTAAATAGCACATCTTTTATTCCAGCTCATGGGCAACAAGATACTGTAGCAGGGAGAACACCACCTATTAATGGAGACCATTTACTTTCCATTACAGCGACCTTGCATTGAACGAACACAAACAATTACCATGATTTTATACTGTAGAAGAACAGCTGCTAAAGTTACAGCAAATGCTTTTTCAATTAAGACAATCTTGATGACAGTTGTTGGAAATGAATATAAGGATATAAAAGCACTGACAAAAAAAAAAAAAAAAAAAAAAAAAAGAAAAAAGAAATAGAGACAATTTACCAAGAAGCTAATATTATGTCCTAAAACCTAACAATGACAAACAACGAGCTTGGATAGATATATGCTGGGGAAGTGTGTCATGCTGTTAGTACAAAAACAGATCACTTTTTCTTTGGAAAAGGAATTAACTGCCTATGAAGCTATGCACAAAGTTGTGTACCTGAGACAGTTGTGGACATCAATAAATAATAGGACTGGGTAGGGTTTCTTTAAACTACTTTGATTAACATCATGTTTTAAAGATGTTTGTGTGAATTAAGCAGCTATTTCACAGGTTGGCCAGTGCAAAAAGAGCAGGAAAGGCAAAACACCCATCCAAAGCACAGCTGCTTCAGAGAGCTGGCCTGGAGCTGCTGCGGCAGGAGGCTCAGGCTAGGCTTCATCACGTAACGTTCATGCTTGAGGTGTGAGGCAACCCATGCTATGCCCTCAGCACTCATTCTCCTCCTGGCCAGGAAGGAAGCAAGGAATGAAACATGCCTTGATAAAATCACTAGGGATGTTACCAGTTAGATGAAGCAAGGTACTGACTGGGGACTGATGGTGATACAGAGGCATAGCACAAAAAAGAGAAAAAGCAGTAAGAAGTTAGGTTCATTCCTGGCTTCTTTTCCCCTGCAGGTCTTCATCTTCTGGATGGCAAATACATGCCTGTATCCCAGAAACAGACTTTCTCTTCTCCCAGCCACAAGCTATGGCAAAAGCTTTATACCAATTGAAAAAAAAAAAAATTAGGAAAAAAAATTAGGAATTCAAACAGGGATTTGATTTAAATGATGGCGTGCACTTGGTGTCCCAAGATGAGCTTGCAACACAGCAGAAGGAGTCTTAAGTATCTCTGACATCCAAACAAGTTCCCAGAACTTCCCAGGATGTTCTGCAACATGTTTAGCAATTTACTTTTAAATTATTCCATCACTAAATGTGTAACTACAGAGCCCAATCCAAACCCAAATGAAATTAATGGAAAGACCTCCGCTGATGTAAATAGTTCTCATCAAACTGGCATGTATGTCTTGGCTGATTTTTAACGAAGAACATGAAATATTACCATTTGTTTAAAAAAAAAGGTATTTTGCAGATAAATTTACAAAAGAAATGCAGATACTTTAGAGCAGTATCAAGTGCAAGCAGGTGGTAGAGTATCTTCTTCCAAAGTCCTTTGCCAGAAACTCTTGAACTCCGTACATTTTGTAACAGCTCTCTTCTCAGACAAACCGAGCCAAGATTCACAGAAATTTCATATGGATAAACAGGAAAGTAAATACAACTGAACGCGTTCTCTTGGGTGCAGCATACGATTTAAAGTGAAACCTACAGGGATCTAGGGAATTTTGTTATTGCCCATTAAAACAGCACCCCAAATGCCAAAATGAAAGGATAATGCCTCATGTGGATGGATGCTTCATTGACTTCAGTACTTTAGTATCCCCACAAATGATCTGAACAATTCAAAGTTAGTTCTTATCA